AAACATAAGTGTATATATATATATATATATAAATTAGGGTATGACTGGAGAGGTTTAAGAAATTGAGTCTCTCTTCGTCTCAGCAAACACAGCGGATTTGCTGCTGCTGCTGTTTTGTTTGAATGCATGCAAAGACAAACTGCAGCAGCAAAACAAAATGCCCCCAGAACAAATACAGGGGTTGCTGCTGCTGCTGCTGCTGCAGTTGCTGCTACTGCTGCTGTTGCTGCTGCAGAAGCAGTTCCTGCTGCGCAACTAATACACGGCTAGCTCCAAACGCTTGTCTACCTGCTGCTGCTGCTGCTGCTGATGCTGCGCAACTATTGCATGGCTAGCTGCAGAGGCTTCGGAGTCTGCTGCCGTTCTTTCGCTGCTAATACGACTGCCCGTGTTGTTGTTGCTGTTGCTGCTGCTGCTGCTGCGGCAGAGGCGGCTGTTGTTGGTGCTGCTGTGTTGCAGCAAGTGCAACGAGCGCACTAGCAGCTGCGCAGCAGCAGCAGCCGCTGCTGCTATTGCTGCTGCAGAAGCTGCTGCTGCTGCTGCTGCTGCTGCTCCTACAGCAGCAGCAGCAGCAGCAGCAGCAGCAGCAGCAGCGTTTACTCGGGCAGAGTGGGGGAGAAAGAAGCTAAGAGCTCCTCAGATAGCCGCAGCGCATCTGGGGTGTCTGTCTCCTCTCCCTGCCCCCAACTGTCTCCTTCTGGCAGCACAACAGAGCGTGAAGATAAGAGAGTGATGCTGCCTGTTGCTTTCACAGGTTCATCCTTGCTTCCTTCTGCTGCTGCTGCTGCTGCGCCGTCCTCTGGGGGCTGCCATATACCGTGCACTATCTGAGGGTAGCCTAAAGCAGCTTCTGCTTGAATTGCTGCTGTTGCTGCAGCAAGGAGACAGTCTCTTCTTGCGGTGTCGTTGCCGACGGTGTCTCTGAAGCTAAGACGCACCCTCTGCACACCCGACCCGCTGGATCCACTCTGCTGCTGCTGCTGCTGCTGCTGCTGCTGCTGTTTGAGGTGCAGCATTCCCTGCTGCTTCCTGCGCTGCTCTCGCCGCAGCAGCAGCGGCTGTCGCTGCGGCAGCAAACGAGATATTAAACCATCAACAGACATAAGCCCTTCAACGCCTTCTACACTGAAGTCAGGAGACAGCAGCAAAGCAGGTCCTGTCTGCAGCGCAGCACTTCTGCTGCTCAGCCGCAGCACATGAGGCTGAGATATTACAATCCCTTCAGCTGTCCTTATGCACCTGCAGCACGTAGCAGCATCTAAACCGCAGCAGCAACACACGCGCCCGACATCCTGCTGCTGCCCCTTATCCTTATCCTGCTCCTGATCCTGCTGCCGCTGCTGCTGCTGCTGCTGCTGTGTCGCTGCGGCTGCTGGAGCGGGATCGCCTGGGCATGCAAAGCGGACACCTGATGCAGCATTTCCTCTTTCGTCTCCTTTGTCTCTGTCTACTGCTGCTGCTGCTGCTTCTGGTGTCCCCGCTTCTGCTGCATCTGTTGGAGACGAACCAGCAGCAGCAGCAGCAGCAGCAGCAGCAGAAGTGGAGCTGCTGCTGAGGTCTTGCGAATCAGGAAGGCGGTACCGCAGAAAGAAGAGACCAGGGAGGCCTAAAATGTCTCTAACCCCCTGCAGTGTCTCCCTAGGCAGCAACCCTAGGCCTTGCACCATCGACCCAGCCACTGCGCTGCTGCTGCTGCTGCTGCTGCTGCTGCTACTGCTGCTGCTGCTCTTGCTGGGGTGGCTTACAAAGGGCTCGCAAGAAGGCAAAGGAGCCGAAGAACGACACAGGAAGGAAACAGCGTTGCTGCTGCTCTTCACCAGCTGAATGAGCACTGCCACACGGACCTGAAAACAGCAGCAGCAGCAGCAGCAGCAGCAGCAGCATGCACGCAAAAATGTGCAGCAAGGAATGGATGAGATGCTGCCCAGCAACAAGAGAAAACAATCATTATGAACAGCAGCAGCAACAAGAAAAGCAGCTTCAAAAGGAGCAGCAGCAGCATCATCAGAACCAGCAGCAGCATCAGAAGCCGCAGCAGCGCCCACATCAACACCAGCAGCACCATATACATAATCAGGAGCAGCAGCTGCAGTTCATCCTGGCGATCATCAGCACCATCATCATCAGCAACAGCAGCACCATCATCATCAGCAACAGCAGCAGCAACAGCAGCAGCAGCAGCAACAGCAACAGCAACAGCAGCAGCAGCAGCAGCAGCAGCAGCAGCAGCAGCTTACAGTGGAGTGTTTGACTTTTGCGCGCTGCAGCGCCAGAACAACAGGAGGCGAGAAGAGTGTAGCCCAGACAGAGAGCACAGCATTCCAGAGCCTTTGAGTGTCTTGCAGCATCATCATCCTTAGACAAGAGCTAGAAGAGACAGCAGCTTCACCTCTACCGTCTGCTGCAGCAGCAGCAGCTGCAGCAGCAGCAGATCCATCCACGCCCCCACTCTTACAAAAATTGTGCAAATCATGCAGCACCTCCGGAGGGGCCTGCAGCAAATGAATTATATGTCTTGCTCTCCTTAACAGCCTTTCTAACTGAAGAAAGCCACGAAGCAGAGGGCCCTCTCCCCCTGCTGCTGCTGCTGCTGCTGCTGCTGCTGCTTCCCCGTCAGGAGGTTTCTCACCTAGCGCCCTGGAGGCTGCTGCTGCTGCTCTTGCAGCAGCAGCAGCAGCAGCAGCAGCATTGGTCTGTCGTAGCTCCGCCACCTCAACAGCTAAATCTAATGCAGCAGATATACGCTGCAAACCCTTTCGTAGATATGCATTCGGCGGAAAGAAGAGACAGTTCTCAAGGGCTTGAAATGGTAGTGCAGCACTAGCAGCAAGGCTGCTGTGCAGCGGTGTATGCTGCAGCATAGCTATACCTAAGCAGCGAGCTCCCACATGATGCGGTTGAAAGGCAGAGGGACTCAGAAACCAACGAATCGATACTTGCTGCTGCTGCTGCTGTTGTTGCTGCTGCTGCTGCAGACACACCTGAGACCCCACACTCAAACTCTTTGGTAGCTTGCTGCGGCTGCGCCGAGACAGACGTCTGCTGCTCAGCATTCGTGCTGCAGCAATAGCCTTTGCAGCAGCGGGAGGAGGCGCATCCAGAGCAGCAGCAGCTGCTGCAGCAGCAGCAGCAGCAGTTGTCCTTTCAAACTCCCCCTCGCTCTCATCTGCTGCATCATCGGGATCGATCCCGGGATCGTCTCCTCCCCCACCAAACAGAGACAAAAATAAAGGCCGCTGCCTCACCTGTGTTTGAAAGACACAAGTGCAGTACTTGTGTTCAACAACAACAGGCTTCCAAGCAGCAGCAGCAGCAGCAGCTGCTGCTGCTGCTGCTGCAGCACGAGGTGGACCCCCACCCAGACGCATAGGCCCCAGCTGGCTGCTGCCGTAAGACACGCGCATTAGAGCATCACCTGGGCTGCTGCTGCTGCCTTTGCTGCAGCTGCTGCCGCTGCTGCTGGTGCCCTCTGAGTCTGCCGCTGCTGCTCTGCATAGCCGTAGCGGCGCAGCAGCAGCAGCAGCAGCAGCAGCAGCTGCTGCTGCTGCTGTACCCCCTGCTGTTGCTGTTGCTGCAGCTGCAGGGCCTGTAAGGATATCTTCTTCTACAAGGTCTCCTTTGCCTAGAAGCAAGACATCATCTTCGCCTTGGCGAACTGCTGCTGCTGCTGCTGCTTCTGCTAAAAGATCTGAAGCAGCAGCATCATTCTCTGCTGCTTCTTCTTGGGGGTCCTCCTCTGCTAGCTGCGGCAGCTGCAGAGGAGATATAGACGGATAAGAGACAGTAAGCAGCAGCGGGAGGTGCCCCGCATTGTCTTGAGCTTTGCTTTGCTGCGTTACTGTGCTGCGCAAGCGAACAGCAGCACCGCTGCTGCTGAAGCTGCTGCTGCTGCTGCAGAGCTCGGCATCTCGTGTTAGCAGCAAAGGAGACGTCTTCCAAGCCTCCGCAAGTCGCAGCTGCTGCAGCACAAATTGCTGCCGCTTCTGCAGCATACAATACTGCTGCTTCAGTGGCAGCAGCTGCAGCAGCTGCTGCAGCGTCGGGCAGACTCGCCTCCCGCTGCAGAGGCCCTTCTCTTCTAAGAAGGGTCCTAGCCAGCAGCGTACCTGCAGCTCTCGCTGCTGCTGCTGCAGCTGCTGCAGCAGCAGCAAGAAGTAAGCAGGGTCATTACATACAGCAAAGAAGCACCGCTGCGTTCGACACCGCACTAATAGGCTGCTGCTGCAAGCAGGAATAAAAGAAGCAGCAGCACAGAGACGCACAGGGCACCCCACACCTGCTGCATCTATCTCACGGTAAGCAACTGCAGCAGCAGCTGCTGCTGCTCCCAGCAGCAACTCCGCAAACGTTGCGCACGGATGCGGCGGCTCCATCAACGATCCTCCTGCTGCAGCTGCTTGCGCTGCTGCTGCTGCTGCTGCTTCGGCGTGCGCTGCTGCTGCTTCTGGGTCTGCTGCAGTAACAGGCGCCTGCCCCTCCTGCTGCAGCTGCTGCTCTACAATGGCTTGCTGCCGGGAAAGCTCCCGCAGCAGCAGCAGCAGCTGCAGCTTGGCGTGCTGCGCTGCAGCAGGGAGGAAAGCCGCTGCAGCAGGACACAGCAGCACGGCTCGAATATAAGGAGGGATCTCTTCATTTGCTTTGCTGCTGACGGAAGCTAGCAGCAGCGGCTGCGGCGAGGGAGGCAGCGCAGCAGCAGCACTCAAGCTCGGCAGCAGCAACAAAGAACCTGCTGCTGCTGTTGCTTCTGTTGGAGGCAGCCAGAAAGGCGCTGGCGGCGCCTTAGGACAAACAGAGTCTGCAAAAGAGAGAAGATGTGAAGCCTGCAGCAGCAAACAGCAGCAACAATTCATGTAGCTAGCTAGCTAGCTAGCTAGCTGTAACCATCTGGCTAGCTAGCTAGCTAGCTGGCTAGCTGGTTAGCTAGCTAGCTTAGTAAATGCATAGATAGGGGGATACAGCTAGCTAGCGGTGGCTCCTTATCTATTCAGAGACAAAGAGAGATAGAAAAGTAAGAAGGAGACAGAGGCGAAGCAAATGCGGAGACGGAGACAGCAGCAGCAAAGCAGCAGCAAAGCAGCAGCAGAAAGAAGCAGCAGCAGCAAACAATGAAACGGAAGCAAATAACATAAGGACATAAAGAGACAGATAAAAAGAACAAAGAGACAGCAAAGAGACCCCTGAAGAGATAAAAGCAGCAGCAGCACAGAGTGAGACACAGCAGCAGACACCGCAGTGTGCGGCAGCAAAATAATAAACAAAATAATAAACAAAGCAGCAGCAGAAGCTTACAACAACAACAGAGTGCAGCACAGATTGCTGCACAACCCCAAGAGACACCCAACTAGCCACTGCAGAGTTTTCGCTGGCTGCCTGAAGCAAACACAAAGACAGAGCCCATCATCAACATGCTGCTGCTGCTGCTGCTGCTGCTGTTGCTGCTGCTGCTGCTGCACTAGCTGCTGCACCAGACGCTGCTCCTGTCGCTGCTGCTGCTGCGGGTGCACCAGCAGCTTCTACAGCACACGCTGATGCTGCAAGGGCTGCTGCTGCTGCTGCAGGCTCTGCTGCTGCAAAGGCTGCTGCTGCTGCAGCTGCACTGGAAGATACAGCACTCCCTCACAGCAGCAGAGACAACAGGAGCACCCGCAGCAGCGCTCACAGCAGCAGCAGCAACATACGCAGCAGCAACAGAGGCAGCAGAAGCAGCAGCCTGTAGAGTATCGAGCAGGCATCAGACAACGCAAAGTGCAGCAGCACCAGCCACAGCAGCAAGTCCCCCTGTTGCTTTAGCATCACCAGCAGCAGCAGCACATGCGCCCCCACCAGCAGCAGCAGCAGCACCAGCAGCACATGAGCCCCAATCAGCAGCAGCAGCAGCAGCACATACGCCCCCAACATCAGCAGCAGCAACAGAAGCAGCAGCCACAGAAGACGCAGCAGCAGCAGCAGAAGCACCAGCAGCAGCAGCAGCAGAAGCAACAGCAGCAGCAGCAGCAGAAGCAACAGCAGCAGCAGCAGCAGCAGGTTTATACCTGTAGGAAGAAGAGGAGTTTCTCTTTGAAGTGCTCCTGGCTTAAGTCAATGAGCCGCCCGACTGCCCGACCCAGTCGGTCTAAGAGGGCCCGGCGCAGCAGCCGCTGCAGCGCAACATGTTCATTCCAAGCTGCTTCGTTTGCTGCTGCAGCACGTGCTGCTGCTGCTGCCGCTGCTGCTGCTGCTGCTGACCACGTCCTTGAAGTCCGCACACGCCGGCTGCAGCAGCTGCGACAGCTGCGCAGACACTCCACCGCCTCCCCATCTAATGCTGCCCAGTCTCCTGCAATTATAGACACCTCCGTAAACCTGCAGCAGCAGCAGCAGCAGCAGAAGCAGCAGCAGCAGCAGCAGAAGCAGAAGCAGAAGCAGCAGAAGGCAGGGGTAGTGAGCAAAAGAAATTCGGAGACACCTGTTTGCTGCAGCAAAACTCTGCTGCACTGCATTTCAGGTGCAGCAGAAGCCCGCTACCGTTGCTGCTGCCGAGTGTGCTTGTGAACAGCAGCAGCAGCAACACCACCTGCTGCTGCTGCTGTTGCTGCTGCTGCTGCTGCTTACCAGGGATAGTGACACTTGAGAGTAAATAAGAGAGGCCCCACTAAAGGAAACAAAAGACGGGGACAGAGGGGCAGTGGAAGCCGCTGCAGCATGTCAACAAACTGCCGAGCCTGCTGCTGCTGCTGCTGCTGCGCTTGCTGCTGCGGCTGCTGCTGTTGCTGTTGCTGCTGCTTCGCAGAAGCCTCAACAGGAGCTGCAGCTGCAACACCAGCGCCAGCAGCAGCGACAGCACCAGCAGGTGAATCCGAAGGCGTCCGCGCTTCAAGCGGCTCCTGTTGCTGCTGCTCTTGCTTATGCTGCTGCTGCTGCTGTTGTTGTTGTTGCTGCTGCTGCTGCTGTTGTTGTTGCTGCTGCTGCTGAGCATTCTGTTTGTCGGTTTGAGGTGAGGGGGTAGGCTGCTGCTCTGCTGCTGCTTGGGTATGGTTTTGCTGCTGCAGATTGCGCTCTGTCTGTTGAAGTGCTGCTTGCTGCTCCTCCTGCAGCAGCTGCTTAAGCTGGCGCTGCTGCAGCGGGGAGAATGGGATGGGGTTGCTGCTGCTGAGGACCTGCTGCTGCAGCAGGGCTGCAAATGCTTCCTGCTGCAGCACCCTGCTGCACAGCTGATGATAGAGAGAATCTAGAGACACCTCCAGCAGCAGCAGCTCTGCTGTTGCTCCTACGTCCCCCCTGCTGCTGCTGCTCTCTCTTGCTGCTGCCAGTACACCCCGTACAGACCCCACCTGTTGCAGCAGCTCCAGACAGCTGCAACGCACCCTGCAGCAGCCGCATGCGTGTCGCTGCTGCTGTTGCTGTTGCTGCTGCTGCTGCTGCGGGTATGCGGGCTCCATAGGGCAGCGGGAGACAGCAGGATGCCCAGCAATGACTTGCAGCTGAACAAGCAGCTCGCCGTAATGGTCATGATGCTGCTGCTGATGCTGCTGCTGCTGCTGCTGCCGCTGCTGCTGCTGCTGCTGCGGGTATGTATGCAGTCGGTGGCAGTATAGTGCTACAGCTAAGGGGACGACTGGGACGGGCAGCGCCTTAGAAAACTCCTCGGGGAGACAGTAGATGCTGCGCTCCTTGGTGCTGCTGTTGCTGCTGCTGTTACTGCTGCTGCTGCTGCCGCTGCTGCTGTTGGGCGGCTGTGCAGGTGGCGGCGGAGAAGGTGTTGTTGTTGGTGTTGCTGCTGCTGCTGCTGCTGCTGCTGCTGCTGCTGTCCCTGTAGGATGGTCGTGCTCGCACTCGGAGAGGAGACAGCTCTCTAGCCCCATGTGCTGCTCAGCCCCAAGCAGAGACAGCAGATGCTGCAGCTGCGACAGCGAAGCGCCTAAGGCCTTGAGGCGCTGGGAGGCAGAGACTGTGTGCTGCTGTTGCTGATGCTGCTGCTGCTGCTGCTGCAACTGTTGCTGCAGATCGGAGAGAGAGAAGAATCCGCTCGAGTCCGTATTTGTGTCTATGTCAGCGCTTTCTGCTGCTGCTGCTGCTGCTGCTGCTTCTGCTGCAGTCGTTGCTGCTGCTGCTGCTGCGCTTCCAGAGTGCTCGGCTAAGTTCCTGGGGAACACCTCGAGTGGCAAATACAGCCGCACCTGCTGCTGCTGCTGCTGCTGCTCTTGCTCTTGCTGCTGCTGCTGCTGCTCTTGGTGGTCCTGCTGCTGTTGCTGTTGCGGTTGTTGTTGTTGCTGCTGCTGCATTTGCTGCTGCATTTGCTGCTGCAGCTGCTGCACCAGCTGTCGCTCTGTCTGCTGCAGCTCCTCATAAGCCTGCTGAGAGAGTCCTAGGGCCCTCCAGAAGGCAGCACTGTCTCCGCCTGTGCGGCAGTAAGCAACAGTAGCCTTAAGAATAGCTGCATCTGCACCAAGAGCAAGAGCAGCTTCTGCTGCAGCAGATGAGCAGCTAGCAGCAGCAGGAGCAGCAGCAGCAGAAGCACCAGCAGGAGACTGCAGCGACACCAGCAGCGGAGGCACAGCTCGCGGTGTCTTCGCCAGTGTCTGCATCCAAGCAGCAAAGAACGGATCTTCTGCTGCAGCAGCAGCACACAACAGCGTCGCCTCCAGAGCCTGCAGCAAACAACGCCCGCACTCCTACAGCACCCAATCAATCTACCTACCTGGCTAGCTAGCTAGCTAGCTAGCTAGGGAGCTAGCTAGGTAGGTAGCTAGGTCGCTAGGTAGCTAGCTAGCCACGAGAGCACTCAGCTAGCTAGCTAGCTAGCTAGCCAGCTGACAGGCTAATGGTTTATGTGCAGCCCCAGCCTGACATCCCCACCTGCTGCTGCTACTACTACTACTACTACTGCTGCTGCTGCTGTTGCTGCTGCTGCTGCAGCGTAGGATTCACCTGCATTAGCCTCGCGCCTAAGATGAGAGGGGCTAAGACCCCCACACAGAAGCGAACGACACTTCGCACCTCCATCCCTTCATTCCAGTGTCTCCCCAGCTGCAGCAGCAGCCGCTCTGCTGCTGTTGCTGCTGCTGCTGGCAGCAGCGGAAACGCAACAGCCTTCAGTGTCTCCTCCTCTAGTGCATGCGGTGACGGCAGCTCCCCCACCACGCTGCAGTCGGCACAACTGTCTCCTGCTGCTGCTCCTCCTCCTGCTGCTGGTCCTGCTGCTGCTGCTGCTGCTGCAGGCAAGGACAACCCAGGAGCAGCAGCAGCTGATACTCCTGACTTCGCTGCAACAGGGATTGCGGCCTCAGCAAATCCTCCGATTCCTGCTGCTGCTGCTGCTGCTGCTGCTGCGCTTCCTGCCGCAACCGCTGCGTCAGTATGAGGCACACCGAGGTTCGCTACCTGGGCAGGCATATGCTGCTGTTGCTCATGCTGCTGTTCTGCTGCTGCTGTCTTCGCCCGTGTGGGTGAACGGTCCCGCTGCTGCTGCAACACATGAGAAGCTGCACTCTGGTGGGAAGGGGCGAAGTAGCTTTTGCTGCTGCTGCTGCTGTCGGTTTCTTCAGCTGCAGCACCAGCAGCAGCAGCACTGACAGCAGCAGGAGCAGAAGCAGCAGCACTGCTGCTGCTGCAGCACAAACCAGCACTGTTCCAGCCATCACTGTGACAGCGACGTCTCGCAAGCGGGAGGCAGCAGCAGCGGAGGCCCAGGACTGCAGGCAGCTTTCTAGAGGGCTTCTTTAGAGCCCCCTGCTGCTGCTGCTGCTGCTGAGGCTGCTGCTGCTGCCCCTGTTGCTGCTGCTGCTGGTCATGCTGTAGCTGCTGCTCGTCTTGCTGCTGCTGCAGCTTTTCGTGCTGTTGCTGCTGTTCTTGGTGGTGTTGCTGTTGCGTGTGTTGCTGATGCTGCTCCTCCTCCAACGCCAGATCCTGCTGCTGCTGCTGCTGCTGCTGCTGCTGCTTTCGCGCTAGCAGCAGCAGCATAAACGCTGTGTGCTGCTCGTTTTGCCAGGCCCAGAGTTCTGTAATGATGAAGGAGAAGAGCCAGGCCCAGAAGCTAACAGCTCTTTGCTGCTGAGTGTCTCCTTCAAGAAGAGACAGTAGAAAGAGAGTAAGTGCTGCTGGATCTGCTGCTGCTTTTGCTGCACCTCCCAGCCCCCACGGGGACCACCGCCAAGGAGGTAGGGGGCATGATAAAAAGCGAGAAGAAGCAAACAATGCATGCAGAAGATCGCTCTGCTGCTGCAGCTGTTGCTGCAGCTGTTCCTGCAGCTGCTGCTGCTGCTGCTGTGTCGGACCCCCCAAACTCCGCCGCATCTCGCGAGGGGTCGCAATGCTCTCAAATTGCAGCTGCAGCTGCGGCTTCTGCTGCTGCTGATCAGCAGCACCCACTTGCACGTTCTGACTGCCTTCAGGCCCGCATTCAGGGGCCTCTTGCTGCTGCTGTTGCTGTTGCTGCTGCTGTTGCTGTTGCTGCTGCTGTTGCTGCTGCTGCTGCCCCAGCTGCAGTTCCTCTGGCTTCTGAGTGTCCGCTTGCTCTTGCTGCTGCTCCGATTGTTGCTGCTGCTCCGGTTGTTGCTGCTGCTCCGGTTGTTGCTGCTGCTCCGGTTGCTGCTGCTGCTCCGGTGGCTGCTGCTGCTGCACGGGCTGTTGCTCCGGCTGTTGCTGCTGCTGCCGCTGCTGCTGCTGCTGCTGCTGCTGGTGCTGTTTCTGACGAGTGTGATGCCTGGAGACGGATCGTCTCCTCCTGGAGTGCGCTGCAGCAGGTTGCTGTTCACCATTAGCAGGAGCAGCAGGTGGCGATGTTGCAGCAGCACTAGCAGCAGCAGCAGCAGCAGCAGCAGCAGGGTCTGATGCTGAGAGCAGCATCAAGAGCTTGTCTGGGGCGAACAGCAGCTGCTGCTTTAAACTAGGAGACAGCAGCGGCTTCGAAACTTCAATACAAAAATTGCCTCCGTTGTTTGTCTGCGCGCAGTGGTGCCACCGATAAGGCGGAGGCCCAGACCGCAGCACGAAGCTTATACCTACAGCTGCAGCAGCAGCAGCAGCAGCAGCAGCAGCAGCAGCAGCAACAGCAGCGGCAGTGGGAGGAGGAGGAGGAGGAGATGAAGATGGGCAGATATATGCATGCACAAACACACACAATCATAGACAAGGGAATATGAGATTCAGAGCTCCTGCTGCAGCTGCTGCTGCTGCTGTTGCTGCTGCTGCTGCTGCTGCTGCTGCAATTGCTGCTGCTGCTGCAGCTATTGCTGTGGTTGGGCTCACTAGATTTGCCGTCGACCCTTCGAGGGATTTTTAAGTCCACTACGTGCAGCGTGACGCTTCGGGAGTTGCTGCAGCAAACCCTGCTGCTGCTGCTGCTGCTGCTGCTGCTGTTGCTGCTGCTGCTGCTGCTGCTGCTGCTGTCTCCGTTGAAGATGAAGACCCCGTTGTTGCTGACGCGAACCTTCCTCATTGGAGTGTCTACGCTTTGGGTGTCTGCGGAGACAGAGCCCTCAGGCCAGAAGCACTTTGGTGGCTGTCTCCACCGCTGCCCTGTGTTGCTGCTGCTGCTGCTGCTTCCCGCCTGCTGCTGCTGCTGCAGCAGCAGCTGCTGCTGCTGCAGCGGTGCTGCTGTTGCTGCTACCGGCGACTGACCGATAACAGTTGCCGCAGCAGCAAACCCAGAAACTCCGTCAGCAGCTGCAGCAGCAACAGCGGGTGGCGTCTCAGGCGCTGCAGCAGCAGGCGGCCTGTTGGAAGCAGTAAGGGAAGCAATTGCAGCAGCAGCTGCTGCGCTGCACTGCGAGACAGCAGCAGCAGCAAGCTGAGGGGGAGACCTGTCATCTAGCAGCAAGCCCCAATGACAGAAGCAGCAAGACTCTACGCTGCTGCTATTTGTCTCTGCCCTATAATCTTCACTCAGCAGCGCTACCAGCCGCAGCAGCAGCACACCAGCGCTGTCTTCTACTAATGCTGCCTCCACTTCGCCTCCTTGCTGCCCTGACGACGCATAACGCCTGCAGCAGCAGCAGCAACAGCAACAGCAGCAACAGCAGCAGAAGCAGCAATGCGCACAGAAGTGTTTGGAAGTAAATATTCATCAAGTAGCAGCAGCAGCAAAGCAAGCAGCAGAAGCACCAGCAGCAACAGCAACGGCAGCAGCACCAAATGCAGCAGCACCACGTGAAGCAGCAGATGCAGCACCAGCAGCAGCAGCAGCAGCACGACTCTGCTTCTAAAGGGACAAAGACACCGTAGGGCAGAACGAAAACAGCAGACGGAGACAAAGGCAGCAGCAGAGGCAGAGACAGCAGAGACAGCAGCAGAGATAGAGACAGCAACAAAGACGACAAGGGCAGCAACACAGGGATGAGTAGAAGCAACAGCAGCAAAGAGAGACGAAGACAGCAGCAAAGAGATAAACAGAGACAGCAGCAGAGAGAGAGACAGCAACAAAGACAGGAGCGGAAGCAGCAGCAGCAGAGAGAGACCAAGACAGCAGCAAAGAGGTAAGCAGAGACAGCAGCAGAGAGAGAGAGAGAGAAAAGCATATAAAAGTAATATACACCTGCATGCAACCAAGCGCTGCCCTCCATACGATGTCTGCATACACCCCAGAAGACGAAGAGAGTTAAGCCGCTGCACTAATGAAGGCAGCAGCAGACGCCATTCAGATGTACAGAACAATCTCTCTGCTGCTGCATCTGCTGCTGCTTCTGTTGCTGCTGCTGCTGCTGCTGCTTCCTCAGCCTCCACTGCAGCCTTCGCTGCAGCAGCTGCTGCGTCCTCAGCTGCTGCTGCTGCTGCGTCTGCGGCTGCTGCTGCTGCTGCTGCGGTCGCAGCAGCAGCCTCTGCTGCTGCTGCTGCTGTCTCTGCTGCGCTGTCTGCAAGCACGGCTCGCTCTGCTGCTGCGCCCGCAGCAGTACGTGCTGCTGCTGCTGCAGCATCTGCTGCTGCTGCTGCTGCTGTTGCTAGTGCTGCTGCTACTACGGTGTCCCCCGTACTCTGCTCCTCCGCCACCAGTGCTGCATCTTCGCCTGCTGCCCAGGGCTCTATAACCCCAGCAGCAGCAGCAGGAGAAGCTATCATTGCTGCTGTCTCTGCTGCTGCTGCTGCACCTGCACCAATGCACATATTCGCTTCCCTCTCTGCAGCATATGAAGGCCGCCGCCCCCCAAAGTGCTGCTGCTGCTGCTCATGCTGCTGCTCCTTCTGCTGCTGCTGCTGCTGCTGCTCGTGCTGCTGCCGCAGCATCTCCTGCGTCTGCTGCTGCAGCTCACAGAGAGCGACACGGGTCGCCAATTCCATATCTTCTGGTTGCTGCCCTTGCTGCTGCTGCTGCTGCTGCTCTTGCTGCAGTTGCTGCATCTCTGCAGCAGTGAACTCTGGCACCACGCGTCGGAGATCGAAGCAAACGGGGGCCCCTTGACTGTTTAGCAGCCGCAGTGCAAGTTGCTGCTGCTGCGGTTGCTGCTGCAGCTGCAGCAGCAGCCGCAGCCGCAGCAGACTTGAGCAGCCATACCCCACACACGGCAGCGCAGCAAGGAGAGCTGTCTCTTCTGCTGCTGCCTGCTGCAGTGCTGCAGCAAGGCCTACAGCAAGTCCTGCAGCAGGAGCGGAAGCAGCATCTGTTGCTGCTGCTCCTGCTGCTGCTGCATCTGCTGCTGCTGGCAGCACACACTGCACGGGGGGCCTCCCCCCTCTCTCAGGACGCGTGAGGCAGTCTCTTAGCTGCCCCCCCATTTCAACTTGTACCAAATAACCACTATCTGCTGCTGCTGCTGCTGCTGCTGCTGCTGCTGCTGCTGGTTTGTCTATAACTATATCCAGGGCAAGCCAACGCCCAACTAGCCAGGTTAAAATCATGCATTGTCTTCTTGCTGCTGCTGCCACAGTTGCTGCTGCTGTTGCTCCGGTTGCTGCTGGTGCTGCTGCTGCTGCATCAAATGCCTCTAGGCACCGCAGCCGCAGCAGCACAGGCGCTGCTTGGAGAGGTTGCAGCTGCAGCTGGCGTGCTAGCTGCTGCTGCTGCTCCTGCAGGCGCAGCAGCAGCAGCGCGGCCTCCTGCAGTGCTGCTGCTTCTGCAGCAGCAGCAGCAGCAGCACAATCTAAAGAAAAATTCTCGCCTGTCTCTGCCTTCATCCACCCATTGACGGAGCTATGCAGCACGAACTCAACAGTCTCGTGCTGCTCTTCCTCCTGCTGCTGCTGCTGCTGCTGCTGCTGCCCCCTAGTGCACACAGACACCCCAACAGGGCAACCCAGCCGCACAAAGGTGCAGTAGAGGGGGGATTCAAATGCATACTGCTCGCTGCTGCTGCAGCAGCACTGAGACGAAATTCTGCTGCTGCTGCTGCTGCTGCTGCTCGCAGGTGATGTCTCTTCGCCAAAAGGGATGTTCGCTGCAGCAGCAGATGTCCAGGCTGATTTGCTGCTGCTGCTGCTGCTGCTGCTGTACCTGGACCTTGCACAGCAGCAGCTGCTACTGTTTGTTCCCGCCCTGCCTGCAGCTTCGCTGCTGCTGCAGCTGCGACTCCTTCCGATGAACGCGGCGCAGCAGCAGCAGCAGTAGCAGCAGCAAACATGCATAGGAGACTGCAAAGCAGCCTCACTGGGGGCCCTAATGCAGTGCGGAGAAGCACAAGAGGGGGGCGGCTCCCTCCAGCTGCGGCCGTCTGCTGCTGTGAAGCCCCAGTGTACGTACACCCGCTGCCGCTGCTGCTGCTGCTGCTGCTGCCGATGCTCGGGCAACGATGGCAGCAGTAGCACTTGCGGGGAGTTGTTGCTGCTCTTCTTACCTCCATCCTCCGCCTCGGCTTCTTCTGCTGTTGCTGCTGATGTTGTTGCGTCTGCAGCTGCTGCTGCTGCCTCTGCTGCTTCTGCTGCTGTTCCTGCTGCTGGAGCCTCTACTTTGCGCCCCGAACCGTTGAGAGCTTCTCCTACAGCTGCAGCCTCCTGTGTTGCAGTCTTAGTCTGGTGGACCTCTGCTGCTGCTGCTGCAGCAGGAGCAGCAGGAGCAGCAGCAGCTGCTGCTCCTGCTGCTGTCCTAGATTCCACAAGGCCCTTCTGGAAGCAGCTGCAGCGGCCCCACAGAGGCAGCTGAGGTGGGTGTGCAGCTGCAGCTAGAGGCAGCAAACGCCACTGCTGCTGCTGCTGCTGCTCCCCCTGCTGCTGCTCCTGCTGCCCCGCTGCAGCAGCAGCGACCTGCAGCAGCAACGTGTGACTCCTGCCGCATGCAGCTTCACCCAGAAGGCTGCTAGGCACAGCCACTGGCCGGTAGGAGACACGCCATTGCTGCTGCTGCTGCTGCTGCTGCTGCTGCTCTCCGTCTTTAGTATAAACTATGCTGCTTATAGTGGGGCCAACGATAACATAAGCCTGCAGCAAATCCTGTAGCAGCTTTGTCTGCTGCTCTGTAAACTGCTGCTGAAAATACTGCTGCTGCTGCTGCTGCTGCATAAAATGCTGCAGCTGCTGCTGCTGCTTATATTCTTGCTGCTTCTGCTGCTGCTGCTGCAGGCAGGGCACGTGGCCTGCTGCGCTCATCGCAGGTTTGCAGCTGCTGCAGCTCCCAGTGGTGGCATTACTACCTGAAGCTGCTGCTGCTGCTGCTGCTGCTGCTACTGCTGCTGCTGTTGCAGGTGGTCTTGCGTGTTGTTGTTTCTGCTGTTGAACACTGGTTGCCGCTGCTGCTGCTGCTGCTACCGCTGCTGCTAATCCTTCTGCTACTCGTGCTGCTGCTGCTGCTGCTGGTGCTGCAGCTGCTGCTGCACTAGCGAAAATGAGTGACTACAGGCAGAATATGGTTGCAGTTGCTGCTGCTGCTGCTTCTGCTGCTCTTGAGGTATTGCATTGGTGGAGCTGGCTTACAGCGACCGGCAGCTGAACCCGCTGCTGTGCTGCTGCTGTTGCTGCTGCTGTTGCTGCTGCTGCAACGCGCAGAGTCTAGACTTCTGCTGCTGCTGCTGCTACTACTGCAGCAGCAGCAAGATACGCATCGTCTGTCTTTACAAGACAGACAGCTACACAACTAACGAGGGCTACCCAGCAGCTTGGGAAGGAAGCAGGCGCACTGCTTAGCTCTGTTAGGGTTTAGGGTTTAGGGTTTAGGGTTTAGGGTTTGAGGGTGTTGTGTATGTGCGCGTTGAAGGAAGAAGGGAGAAGCCGTAAGTAGAAGAAGGTGATATAAACCCTGTTGCTGCTGCTGCCGCTGCTGTTGCTGCTGTTGCTGCTGCTGCTGCTGCTGCAGTCTCTCCAATCTCTGTATACGACACGCACATCTCTTTGATTTTAATTTCTTATTATTGCTGCTTCTTCCTTCTTCTTACAGAAGTGGGGTGTGTGCATGAACAGAAGCTACTCACATGCCTTGTGTGCTGCTGCTGCTGCTGCCGCTGCTGCTGCTGTTGCAGCAGCAGCTGCTGCTGCTGCTGCTTCGTTGACGGCCACTGCTGCCCGAGTTAAGTTTATACGGATTAAAGACACTGTGTTTCTCCTTAGTTTCTTAAAATAAACTGCTGTCTTATAGCTGTACCTTATGCCTGTTGTTGCTGCTGCTGCTGCAGGGGCAGGCCACGCCTCAGCTGCTGCTGCTGCTGCTGCTGCAGAGCCTTCTAGCGCTGCTGCTCCACACGGAGCTGCAGCAGGAAGTCATTCTGTCACTGGAGTGTACAGTGAGGGCTCCGGCACTGCCTAGCTGCTGCTGCATCAGTTTTCGTTGCAGCAGCAGCGCAGCAGCAGCACCAGCAGCAGCAGCAGCGGCTGGTGCTGCATCAGCTGCTGCCGAAGGATACAGCTCTGCTGCAGCTCTGCTGCAGTTGTATGTTCCAGAGGCGGGTCTGAATATCCTCTAAGCAACGGGATCGGTGGTGTATCAGCAGCAGCAGCGGCAGCAGCAGCAGCAGATCGAGCAAGCAGAGTGGTCGGTTGATTTCTGCTGCTGTTTGTTAGAGTGTCTGTCTGCTGCAGTTTCATCTGTCTCCTTTAAGGTGCCCTAAGAGCGTCTTCAAGGTGTCTCTAACTGTTTAATAGGGGGCCCTTAACTGTCTCTAAAGTGTCTTTAAGATGTGTATTATATATATATATATATATATATATATACATACAGTGTATATGAAGTTTCCGGTGTCTCTTCAGTGTCTCTTTAGGGCCTATTATCTCTCTAGGGTCTCTGAAGTGTCTCTTAAGCTGTCTATTATATCTCCGGTGTCTCTGAGGTGTCTCTTTGATGTGTAAAAGATCTGTAGTACTGTCTCTGTAGTGTCTATAGAGTGGGTTTAAGTTTATAGTGTCTCTAAACTGTCTCTAAAGTGTCTCTAGGGTGTCTATTAAGCCTCTCAAGTGTCTCTATGCTGTCTATAGGGTGTCTATTGAGGCTCTACTATATATAGAAGGCCACTTAAGTGTCTCTAAAGTCTTTATTAAGCCTCTTCTGTCTCTAAACTGTCTCTAAAGTCTTTATTAAGCTTCTACTGTCTCTAAACTGTCTCTAAAGTGTTTATTAAGCCTCTACTGTCTCTATGGGGTCTCTTGAATGTTTGTAAAGTCTCTGTGAGGCGTCCATTACGTGCCTTTTAACTGTCTCTAAACTGTCTCTAAACTTTCTCTAGACTGTGTCTAAACTGTCTCTAAACTGTCTCTAAACTCTCTACGGAGTGCTGGTGAGGTGTCTGTCTCTCAGGTGTCTCCACATCATCTTCAAAGTGCCTTGGAGACATCTCTGTAGTGTTGCTAAGGTGCCTATACAGTCTATATATATATATATT